ACAGTTTTTTTTACAATATATATATATATAGCACCATCCAATATAGCTGCATCTGTGCTTTAAGATACTCCTTACCTCTTCAAGTTTCCCCTTTGGTACTCTGCAAATGCAATTGGTACCAAAGTTAGTGTCTCTAGTCTGAATGCATCTGAGGCAACAGAGGTTTTCATAACCTTGTTTCTTCCACTTGGCAATGAGGTTTTTATCAGCTATGTTTTCCTTCAGGCAATACTCATAGAGTTCTGGAAATAAAATGACAATTATATTACAATCACACTTTAACCTTAAATTCTAAAAATAAAACCTTCATTTTCTCAAGGAAAAAAAAAATTAATGAGACAGGCTGCGATGCTTTTAAAGTAATGACAATGAGATAGAGAATTTTTCTTAAAAAACAGTGGTGCAAACTTGCTATCAATAATCAGAAATACAATGATTTTAAATATGTTTATAGCTAAAATTATCATTCCCTCCACTTTTATAAAAAGTTTCATCACTACCACAAAATAGGATATTCAAATAGAATGACAATTATGACATCATGCTTAAAGTAAATTACCAAAATTAATTTAGGATAATGCATAATTTTTCTGGTTAAAACATCTAAAAAAAAAATTTAAGCTTAGTGGTAAAAATTGAATAAGCATGTCTAAACTAGTTATATACACAAATATGGATAATAAATGATAAACAAACAAGTAGTTTCAATGTCTACGATGAGCAGCAATAAGGAAGCAGTGTTTGTGATGTCAATATTTACTCGTTTTAACCCAGTGCTCGTAAAATATGGTTTAGTGAAAGCATAAAAGTTTATACATACTTACCAAATTATAAATAAAATTAATAGTTGCTGGAGAAGTAGAACTTTGTAGAAATTTCATGAATCGCAAAAATATTAATATCTAAAACAGGGGTTTACTTGCTAAAAGCAAATTATACTCCAAGAAAAATCCAAATTCACTCCAATCAAATATTTTAGACTTGTTCATTTAATGTAGGTTATGGTGAAATCAGGACCCGTTATAAGCGAGTTTGGTTGTTATAAAAAATATTTTTGAATTAAAAAACATTCTTGAAGTAAAATATTTCTGATAAAAAAATTTTTTTTTTAAATTATAAAGCAAAATGTTAAAATTAACAAGAAATTTTGAGATAGAAAATAACAGATTAACTAATTTTAAAGAAAAAATAAACATTAACAAGAAATTTTACATGCTTAATTTTATGTAATAAAGCTATATCAGGTTTAAAACTTTCTCTTTCTCATTAATTTTTAAATAGAGTCTTAAACATGCTTTAGCTAAAGTAAAATTAAAAATTTATGTACATATAAAATGATAGAAATTTTAAATTTGTTGAAACCTTGAAATAAACTTCCTATATTTCAAAGTTAGAAAATATAATTTCTCCTCCCTTCCAAAAAAAAGTTCCTGGAAATAAGTCTGAAAAATAATTTATGTTTACTATGCTATTTATGCAATTTTTTCCCAATTTATTTTTCTGTTTGGGGACAGATGTTAGCAGATCGTGCATTCTTCTACATTAGCATATTCCTCAGAATGAACCATTGAATATTCTAAAAATTACAAATTATATAATCAAATATAGATAAAACTATACTATTATTTACCTCTACTGATAGCTTTACGTCGGTGGAAAAGATCATATATGTATCTAGACTTCTGGTGGTGGATTCTAAAAATAGGCCATAAAGATTCAACTTTCCTTTTGCCATCATGGGGCTCAGTTTCAGCTACAAAGAATACGTAACTTAAGTAAAAAAATCAACTGATATTGGAATCAAAATTTTTTTAATTTGTACACAAAATATGATTTTAATGTAAGATTTGTTGAACAAAATAAACTGATTTAAATTTTTTTGGTGAATCCTAAGATAATTTTTTTTAAGGAGGGATCTTTTTTCCTTTCCTTTTTTTCAAACATTAAAATTAACTTTAATTATTGCATAACTTTTGTTTCAACAAAATATTCAGGCTATAACAAGTCTGTAAATTAAAATGATAGTATCTGAGTACAATGGCATACAGACAAAAAAAATACCATATACGAAATTCAAATGAGAGCAAGTGTATTAAAATTTCAAACCCTTTTAGGTACTGCATTACTACATGAAACATGTAATGAAGCTAAAATTGGAAGAGATGGTATAATCATGAATTGCAGATTGTTTAATGAACTTTATTACAAGTCCAATTAGTAAATCTTCAACAATCTTAATCAATTTGAGAATGCATTTTTTGCCAGTTGGAGAAAAGTATTACAATTCAAAAAGAAAAATAGCATTAAATATTTTAATAATAAGAATTACAGCTTGGTTATGGGATCTTATAATTATTTTTTTTTGAGTCTTTAAAATTTGTAACTACTCTTCCAGTTGAATAGCATTAATATATGGAAGTTTTTGTCGTTTTCTTCGCCCAACAACTTTTATAAGAATTTTCAATATTTCTTTTGCTTTTGACCATGTTTAGTCTAAGAATTGTTTGTTGAAAGGGAGAAAGAGATTTCCCTATTATATTGAACTTTAGTTATTTATTGTTTTTTACTTGTTTAATGAGCAGAAAACAATTATCATAAGATAGCTGCAAACAATAGAAATACATTACTCTGGTATGGGAAGGGAAAAAAAACTTATTTTGAACAGAACAACAATTTTGAAAAACCATAATTTTTATTACTCAACTACAAGATTGAAATCTGGACTACAAAATCACATTTATAATAGTAAACCCTTAATAAACAGTAACAGATTACCCTATAAATTTTTTCTATTTTAACTCACATTTTTTTAAGTTTAAATCATTGATATAATATTTATCCTAATAATTATAGCAATTCTTAGGTTCTTTTCAGTATACTGAACAACACAAGCTTCTTCCGGAAAAATTCGGAAACCCAACATCGCCCTATTATTTTTTCTTGACTAGAAATCAAGGTTATCTGATGTTTCTAATGAATTCTCTAAATATCTCATTGGTGTAGGCAAATTACATAAGTTACAGAGTCTTCATTATACCAACTTTCATGTTATATTAATTTTTAAAAAAAATGATGATTTTTGTGTATACAAACAAAAACATTGAATAGCTAAACTAGAAGTATCTGGAACAAACATTGTACAGTCCAACCTGTTTATCTCTAATCTCACGGGAAAGGCGAAAAAGTCGAGATAAAGAGGTTTCGAGTTACACAGGTACTCTAAAATTTAATTAAGAAATTCTCTTAAAAGTGCTTTAATTGTTTTCAGTAGAAAAATATCATTTCTTTAAATTAATTATACCAATTACATCTATTTACATAACAGTTTTTTTTACATACATTTAACACTGAAATGTTTTTTTCCAAGAATTTTGATGTCGAATTTTATTTATTTCGATTATTCTTTTGAGGTTAGAAAGATTGCTAATTTCTCATAGCCAACATTTTCCTGGGATTCCAGAGTAATTTATAAGAATTCTACAGCATTTTCCACTTCTTTTGCATTCACTTTTGATTCATCAAAATGATCTTCAGCTNATTTAACACTTAAATTTTTTTTCTCCCAAGAATTTTGATGTTGAATTTTATTTACTTCGATTATTCTTTTGAGGTTAGAAAGATTGCTAATTTCTCATAGCCAACATTTTCATGGGATTCCAGAGTAATTTATAAGAATTCTACAGCATTTTCCACTTCTTTTGCATTCACTTTTGATTCATCAAAATGATCTTCAGCTTCTTCCTCTTCATCTGATATTCCTTTGACATTACCTATGATTTCCGAATCTGTCAATGTTCCGCATGTTGCCAGACAGTTGTTCACTTGTAAAAATTTTCAAAATTAAGGTCAACATTAAATCCAGATTTTACTGCATTCCATTCTGGCAAATCTGGCACTGCATTCTCAATGTTAATATTTTCTTCTTCTTTGCTGTCTTCAATCTCTAATTCATCATTATCACGGCTATTCTTAAAACCAGCTTTTAAAACCATTTTGAATAGTTTTTAGAGACACATTTCTCCAAGCAAAACAATAATTCTGATAGCGTCTAACTTTTTTCATCGATGACATCTACAAGTTTGAGTACCAACTGTTTTCTATAGTTCACTTCAAAACTCTTAATTATCTTTTGATCCATTGGTTGCAATTTTGAGGTCAAAATGAATTCCTATTCTTAGCTTTTTTTATCTATGTTGAAAAGCTAACCCCTGATGGTCACTACTTATTAACCGCTCACTTACTGCCAGAATCATTGTATTCCTTTCCAGTTAAGGAAGTGCAGGGATAGTGATTGAAATTCCTAGAAAAAACCCCAACCTGTTCATCCCTACTTCCTGTGGATTCACGAAATTCATCTCTGACTACGAATTTTACTGATAAAAAAGGTTTTGACATTTTTGCTCTATTATTAGAAATTCAAGAAACGGAGGTTTTGAAGAAAAAAATTTCGACATAAACATGGAAAATACATTGATTTTAGAGAGTAAATGTAAAAAAATTTTAGAAATTACGAGATAAAGAGGTCTTCGAGATAACCAGTGAGATAACTAAACCAGGCGGAGTTTCTGTACATTGTATTTACAATCTCCAAGGGGCCAAATAGATTTCAAACTTGAAATTGCTTTTTTTTTTTTTTAATAAAATTCTTTTTAGAGTTTTGCTCAGGGTTGGCTGGAAGTTATGCCCTTCAAGCTGGCTTCCCTCTATGATGCTTTTTTATTTTCCCCAGAAGTTGCCAAGACTTGGCGATTATACTGCCACAGAGCATGATACAGAAATCTTTCTTCCCTAAATCAAGATTACAATTTAAATAGAGTTAAAAATTACCTTCTCTCATTTTTTGTTCTAATTCATCAATAGTTGGTTCAATCAACTCCCAGCCTTCAGGTGGAGGTTTACGACTTCTTCGAACTTTAGGCATGATCTAAACTAAGTTTTAAAATAAATAAATTTACATTATAATTATTAAACATGCTTAATTATAATTATACATGTTATATATTCAAAAAAATATGTTACTTATTAGAGATAGTTTATTTGAAACTACAAAGGTTAGGAGCAGGCAATATTAGAATTATAGAGTTTTTAAATTCTAGTTCTTTAACTATCACAGGTGCAATAGATTTTACTTTAAAAATATTTTTATGAACTGTTTTAATTGTTATCCTGATAATTGATCATAAAATTATAATAGTAATTAATACTAATTAAAACTACTGGTTTATTAATTATTTTAAAAAAATGCAACAACAGAACACTATCAAAACATGCTAAAACCATCCTTTTTATAAAATCATGACTGTCATTTTGTAAAATTAAATTTTTGTAGAGCATAGTTTCAAAATTATAACAACTTTGCTGTTTCTATCTACTTTCTCAAGTTTTGAAAACATAAATATCAAATTTCATTTTTCCTCTTCAAATAAAAGGAACTAAGTTTCAAAAGTTGATTACACTTTTTTTAATAGATGCTTGTATAGTGTATATTTCAAAATGAACTATAAAACAAATAAAATAAAAGTTTTTCAAATACATTCATGCTGAATCTTAAATTTAAATTTTGCTAATCAAACAAATATGCTAATATTTTAAATATGTGCTGTACGTAAAATATCAATAATGTTAAATTAAAATTTCAAACATGTAGATTAATAATCAGAATAGAGGAAAATATGAGAGTGGTAAATTTCAATTAACTATAATGTTAAACATTATAGCTCTAGTAAGGATAAGTGGAGATTTGGAGTTAACTACAATCAATATGACGCTTGCAAATTTAAAAAAAAAAGGGAGAATAAAACATCTAGGAGTTTGAGCTTTAATCCTAAAAATCACTGGTCGCTAATGTTATATACATGACATTTGTATTATCTATCTTTCCTTTTGAAGATATTCCTGCATGCGATTGCAATTAGCGTGATCAGGATCTGGAACAGGAATGTCCACAGACCAGCTGTATAAAAATAAGATAATACTACACTATAATAAGCAAGATGAAACAATGAATCTAATTCATTAAGATACAAGCCTGTTAAACAAAATTTAATTACCAAACCTACTTAAATAACTGGTAAACTTCACTGAGATAGTTAACACAACAATAACAAAACACACACACAAACGCTTCGCAGGAAGATAAGTTTCAGAGCACCATGCCTCATGAATGCGCTTATAGCTTTTGTGGGTTAAAGGGAGATAAACTGTAACGGGTGCGGTTGGCATTAGCAAAAAAAAATTATGGGGTCTAGTATGCACAAACTCATTTATTAGAATTAAATAAACAAAAACTTTTGTTTCAGAGACTTTAAATAAATATCGTGTTCGTTTTATACTCTTTAAATTTGTGAACCATGGGTATACTTGAGCGAATTAGTGAAATAGAACGCGAAATATCCAGAACCCAAAAAAATAAAGGTAATTTATCGTTTGAGATAGATTATATTATGTATGAAACATTTTTCGCCTTTTACACGAGTGCATTCATATGTTAAGCATTGTAATGAATATTTATTATTCATACTTTAAATATAACGTGAAAGTCTATCCCGGAGTTTACATTACGTTTCGTCTATTATAAACTATTTTATTTAGAAATAAATGCACGGATAATATTTCATCAGTATTCCTGCGACACTTGTTATCGTAATCATGATCTGTTGCAGACTAATCGCCAAGTCTTGGTAACTTTCGAGAAGCGACCCGCGAGAAATAAAAAAAAAAAAAAAAAAAGCATCGCTGAAAGGGACCAACTCGAAGGGTATGACTAGGGCTGCGGATCTGTCCTGACGCGAATTTCCGGGATGATTACCGCAAAATTGTCCTCTTTTTTCTAAAATCCGCAAATTTCTCAAAATGTTTCAATTTGCACTAAAATTGCTTAAAATTAGATTTTTTTAAATTTATTAATTTTATATAACAGAATTTTTTACTTTCCTGAAGCCTTAAATTAAACATGTGAAATAGATTAGACATTTAGGCAGTGAAACAATAGAAAAATGACAAGAAAATAGTTCAGAGATGAACCCAATCTTGTCAATTAAGGTGGTCTTCCTATATTTAGGGAGCGTGATAAGACTGATTAGGTTTACCTTCCTGAAGTGAGTAAGAAAACAAAAGAAATAGGAATCACAAAAGAAAAAAGTGTTATAAATCAAATCCTCAACAGAAATATTGTTATACAAGCTATTGCACTATCCAATGAAATTTTACTGCCCTTGTACGTATCCAGACAAATATTCCTGAGCTTCTTGTGATTTCTTTAAGATGGGCCTCAAGCTTTTCTAAAGCAGGCAAAGTTTTTGATACCAGTCAATGTAAATATTTAAGCATTTTAAATGATGAGGACAATTCATAAATTTTTTAACATAATCCTGAAGTTTGAGGATGACGAAGAATTGATAAGTGAATTTAATTTCTACAAAGCAACGGTCAAGGTATTGCACATTGATGAAGGGAAATTGCTCCAGCTTTTGGAATCAAAGACAGAACGCTATCCAAAATTCACCTAAGTGGCAATTAGATGTTTGTTGGTGCCTACAAACAGCATAGACGTAGAAAGATCGTTTTCAAAGTATAAACGTGCATTAAGTGATGAACAACATAGCATAAATGAAAATAATCTGGCAATGTAAACTTTTAATACCAATATTCTGTTCATTTAAATAAAAATATTAATATTGCCTGATATTAAAAGAAATACTTTTTATTGCGTATTTTTTACGCTTTTTTTATTATTTGTACAATATCTGTCTTTTACATCATTCATATAATAATTTTTTTGTATTTGTGCCTGCTTGTAGCTGAAAAAAAAAATCACTGAAGGAGAGCACACCCCTATGTGGCTTTTTAAAGGATTCGCCAGTTTGAAATCCATTTGGCACCTTATTGATTGTAGTTGGCATGACAAATCATGCTACGGAAATGTTCCTCTAGTGGCCACAATTACTTGAAAAAATATGGCACACACATAGCTATATTTTTTTCAAATTTTCGCTATTAGTTGTAGTGAACAGGTACGGATATACAGATATCCCATGGAACCATTTGTGTTGATTGTACTTTGCAAAAGTTTTAAAAATTTTTAAGATTTTTATTAATTAATTTTTTTTTGAATGATCACAGAAATTAGTTACACTAAGCATGCCTGACTAATGTTTGAAAGATGAAATAATAGATAAAAATTCCTAACTGAACCGAGTTAATAATTTCTTGTTTTTAGCTTACAAAAATGAAGAGATGTTGTATAAAGGATTTAAAGGTTTTGAAAGTATGACATTTAAACTCTTAACTTAATGACATAGCAGCAACTAATGATACCAAAAATCTCTGTAACTTTGTTTTTGTGTGTCTTAACTTGGAAAGTGTGTCTAATATTGGAATGGCTGTTTTAGATTGATGATGGTCATACTTGAAGTCTCATAGTTTTAGATAAAAAAAATTGTGTCTAGTACCAGAATCCCACTTCATTAACTTTTTCAAGAGTGATTGGTTTGGAAAAATGTAGGACAAACATTTGTATTTATTAATAGTTTGTTTACTATAAAAAGTCTTTGTGATTCATTTTCTCAACCTAATTTTTTTAAAAAATTTTCATAATTAATTTTTAAAGTAAGTATTGAATTCATTGTTTCATAATTTTTTTTTATTCTTGTGCTATAAAGTCAATTTTTCTTTCATATTCACAGCTACTGAATACCATCTGGGGGTTCTGAAAGCTAAACTAGCAAGATACCGTTCTCAACTTTTGGAACCAGCGACTGGCAAAAAAGAAAAAGTCAGTAAAAACTTTAACATTATTTGCTTTGCTGTTTGTAATTTTAATGAAGGTGACTAAAATAAGCTACAACTTACTAAATAATTACCTAAATTATCTCATGCTATTTATTATTTTTGATGTAACTAGGAGGCTTCGCCTCTGTTTGCTTCTCATTCGTTATTGTTTTTCTTTTCTTTTTAATTTGCTATTTTAAACTAAAGCAAAGAACTTTTCATTGTTCTTAATTATAAGGTAGTAAAGAATTACCAAGATTAAAACTAACTGTAGGGGAGAGTTGGATAAAACGGGATACCATTATTGTTTTTATTTACTACGGAATATCTGTTAAGGAAAACCATACATTATTTTTTTTGTAGCTACAACATTTATTGAAGCACACAAAAAACATATTTTAAACTAATTTTAATGAATGTGAAATAGAAAAAAAAATTAATTTGCAAACTCTTACATATCCCGTTTTAGCATACCTGGGTTGGATAAAACGGGATAGGGTTTACAATGTTTAATTATATAAATATAAAATTATAAATAATGCAAATATATAAATAATATTCTTTATATATATAAAAAAGCTCAAGTCTTCATCAGAGAAATACATTACAATTAGTTCTAAAGAAAGATGTGAAATCCTAGAGTCGAAAATAAAATGCTTAATAATGAACGTTAATAAACAAATTTTGCATTACTATATAAAGAGACTAAATTTTTCGAAAATATGTATAGCTAATATAAACAAATTGGTCTAAATTAATAGGCCTACATTAATATATGGCTATTTTAAAATGTAATAATCCAATAAATAAGTAGGTGGATAAAACGGGACATAAAAACTCTATCCCGTTTTATCCAACTCACAAGTGTCCCGTTTTGTCCGACTCTGACACTTTTTGAAACAAACATGACTGCTGCCTAAATGTGAAAAGAAAACTAGATAGACTGCACATAAAAATATTAGTAAATAAACAGGTTAATTAAATTTAATACTCACCGGAATTTTATTCCCATTTATGTAGGCAGTACAATGTAAAAAACAACTCACGTAAATGTAGAAAATGGCAAAAAAATAGAGTAAAAAAGTTCTGAGACCTACAACTTTGTATCAAATAGTGATCTCGAGGCGGGACGCACCGAGAATGATATAATCACGGTCGAATCACACGTTTCTGTCGTTGTCCGCTAGATAGCTGCAATAGTCTGGTCCCTAGGCGACGTATCCCGTTTTGTCCGACTATCCCGTTTTATCCAACTCTCCTCTACTTGAAAAAAAAAATGAAACTGAAGAATACAATATGTACTACAGTACAGAACCCTTTATCCGGAAATCAGAAAACCAAGAAACCGGAACAAAATTCGTTAAATTTTCCTGCCATTTAAAAAAAAAATTTTTTTTCCTCATAAGATTTTAGGATTTTTCTTTCTTTTTTGAAAGATGTTTACCATACCATCATTTTGGAAATAATCATTACTGTATTACTTCATTGTTTTTTCTTCTTTTTAAGATTATTTCCTAATATTTATTTTTTTAGTCGGGTTTAACAATAAAAAAAACGGCTTTTTGTAGCTATTCAGAAAACCGGAAAAATCAGTTATCCGGAATAGCATTAGTCCCGATCTTTCCGAATAATCAGTTCCCTATTGTACTACAATGAAAATTTTTTATCTCTCTCGAATGATCAGTCGTATTTACTCTTCAGTGATATTGATATGGAAAATAATTCAATATGAGATTGATCATTACATGATCTAGAATTTTATCTAAGGTCTAGAGAATAATATTTAAAGTAGTTTTTGATTTTTTAGGAGTTATTTTCGTAGTTAACTTTATACTTCAGAATTGTATTGATAAAAATTGTACGGTTCAGAAGTAAATTAATTGAAATTGTACTGTCAAAATGTACTTGTTATTTTCTTCATGTATTTATTCAAACTACAAAGCACTCTCAAGTACTTAGTATAAAATATCAGATGCATTGATGCAGATCTATCTCTAGGGCTTAATACTTTTCAACAATTCAACTTAAAACCACTAAAAACAGGGCACATGTCCAAATGTTCAACTATCAGCATACTAGCTCCTTAAAAATGCATCAAAATATTAGTTGAAAGTTTCCTTAGTGCGTAATATACCAAGTAACAAAATATTTGTGGTTTGTCTAAATCGCACACGATCGCTCGATTTAAATTTTTACTGTTCAATTTAATTTTAGTATTAAGGATATTTTACTACTGAATTTTTTTTTCAAAGTTAACATTTATTTCTTACCTTATACTTCTTAAAGGCACTTATTACATAAATAGCTGAAATGTTAGTAGGCAATTCATCCTATTTACTTTGCGACCATCTCCAGAGGTCACATTTCAAAACATCCTTGCTATGCTTTAAAATACTCAAAAGTAATCATTTTTCAAAAATTGTGCGATATATTTTTATCAGAAATTCTTCTTAAATTTCAAGATTTGTTCAAAATAATACTAAAAATATATTTGGTTGTAAAAATTCAGAATAATTATTATAATTCCAAGCAGTTTAAAAATATTGTTTATTATCTGCACCATTGTAATTAATTAACAACATTATGCTTCTTTCATTACATCTAAATTTTTGAAAAGTAATTGGTTTTAATAAAAGCTGCCTTTTTTATTTTAAGCACATATATATATTTTTTTAATAATAATAAAAAAAAATGCTTTTGTGGTTTTTGACTGGCCTAAATCTGGCAACCATGAATTTTTAATTTCATTTATCTATGAATACTTTTGCTTTTAACCAAAATAAACTTTTCTTACTTTTTTATTTTTTACTGGTTGTAGTAATATCTTTGAAGTTTTCATTTGTAGTTTTTTATATGTTTAACTTTTTATTTTATTTTACAGGGTGAGGGCTTCGATGTTATGAAATCAGGAGATGCCCGTGTGGCTTTAATAGGTTTTCCATCAGTTGGCAAGGTAATGAATGTGTTTCAAAATGTTTAATTTAATGTTCAACATAATTTTAATTCAATTTTATTTATTGTTTCTAATGCCACTTACCAATACCAGCAAACCTGCTTGGTGAAACCAAGCAAATTTTTAAGGCAGAGAATGCATTTCTTGTTATTCAGTGGTACCATCTATGGCCAAGACTACGATTTCAGCAACTGAGTTCACCCTAAAAAGAAAAAAAGGGCAGGGTGCTTCCTCTCTGAAAAGAGCACTTTAAGTTTTGAAAGCAAATCTTAACATTATAAATATTTATCAAAATGTGTAATATTACTTAATGAATGAATTTTATCCTCAACAATTTTTAAATTACCCTCGCATACTATCTCATGAGTATATTTTAAAAAGTAATTCTTTCTTATTATAAAAATAATTAAAGGCATGCTAAAAGGTAATCTCTGTACATATTTTTTTTTTCAAAAAAAAAGTAAACAAACAACAAATGATTAATTGATAAACAGCTTGAAGGCTTTTTTTTCTATAATTTAAATTAAAAATTATGAGAAAATGAACTTTTAAAGGTGCAAAAAAAAAATATATATATATATTTAAAATTTAAAATAACTTAAAAAAATATTAGTATCCCCCTCCCCTCAAAAATACATATAAAAATTTAACCAGTTAAAAATAATCCTAATGAAGTAAATGGTTGTAATAATAATCACAATTTAACCTCTAAACATGGATCATTTTTCCAGGGTGTGATTATTATTTAAACAATGAATTAATTTTATTAAAAATGGAATCAGAATAAAACGACTGTTTTTAAGGGCTGACAGCTTACTTTTACAAAAAAGGGCACATTTATTGGGATCAAAGGGCAAACAGGGCAGGCGGCCCGTAAAAAAATGCTTAGGGCGAACACTGGGTGTAATATTCCCTTTCGTTTTTTCTTCATGTATTTGATAACTGAAAAATTATTTAATTTTTTTTTTGTTAGGTTAATTTTTTTTCTTCTTATGGTTAAGGATGCCAACTATTACATCCCTAAATATGTACTATGATTTTACAGTGAAGATTACGGTCTTATGGGTTGAGTAATATTTATGTTTTTTGAGAAGTTTTGTTTTAATCTGTTTAAAATACCTTAACTACCTTAACAACCTAAATTTATGTTATTGGATTGTTTGCAGTCAATCTGTGAGGATTTTTTTTCTCTTTCCTTAAACAATTCTAAAAGCTATAAAGAATAAAAATTATTTGATTTAAACACAAAATAAGAAGTAACAAGAGCAAAGAACATTATCTCATCTTTCATTCCTCCACCAAATTATTTAAAAAAAAATGAGGGCTAGTTTGAAGTTTAACCAAAAATAAAAACAGTGATTCAGAACCCGCACTAAGGATTGCAAATCATTAGCCAGTAACTTAGCCAAATATCGAAAGTATTTGTCAATTTTCGAAAGTCTTTGTCAAATACAACTCTTAGGAATTTTTTAGGATTAATTTTTATCCTCTACAAAACTATTTAACGGTAGTTTGTTTCAGGCTTATATTACTTGGACTCAATTCTAATTGGTTATGCGGCGCATCTACCGAAAATTACTGTAATCGAATAAAAAGTACTGATTAGTTTAGAAAAATTCCTTTCGATATAATTTTTAGAATTGAGTTAAATATGTATTTTTTATTTCCAGTGGAAAAAAAATTATTCACCAATTCCTTTGCCAAAACATTATTTTATTTGCCAAATTTGCAATTTTATCGAATTTGGCAAGGTGGCGAATGCTTACCATAGGTCCTGGTGATTCCAAGTAATCAATTTATCAGTGATGTATAAAATTTATGACATTATAGTATTTTTATCTAAGTGTTACTCTTTCTACTTAATAGTAAAATTCACACACAATTTTGCTTATATTTTTACGGAATTAAGTAATTTATACTCCTTAAGATTGTGCTAAATTTAAATTGTGTTAAAGTTAATTTTTTTATACATTGCTGTGCTATTGTACTTCTGATTACTGATAGCTAGTTTTGGAAGTTGGCTTTTCTGAAAGATCATAGTGTATTATTGTGTTTTAGTCTTATTTTTGATTTGGTATGAGAAAAAAATCATATCAGCGTATAATTTGCTTTACATTACATAATCATGTTATGAAATTTTTGTATTAACTTGTATGCTTTTAATTTTTTAGTCTACAATATTAAACATTCTGACTGATACTCACAGTGAATCTGCTTCATATGAATTTACCACATTGACCTGCATTCCTGGTGTAATCCCAGTTAGTATTTCAATTTTATTTTTCTTGTTGATATTAAAATAATAATATGTTTTTTTTTTTTTTTTTTTTTAAGTGAAAGTCTAAAGAATCACAAAAATACAATTCTAATTAACTAGTTATATAAGATATGTTAACTTGATTCTGTGTTGGGGTACCTCTTCATAGATAAAGGTTGACATTGTTGTTAACTACTATCTCCACAATCATTATAGTACTATATTTTATTTAATGCGATTCTTGTTTACTTTTCTTTATTCTTATGTAATTTTTCTTTCTTGTTGCCACTGGCTGTAAAAACATGAAAGACTTAGCAATTACACCAAATTTCAGTTTTCAATGTAACTACTCATTTTATTCCTCTGATTATCCGCATGACAAGGAAATGCAAATTTTTTAATGCTACTATAAAAATCTATTTCTGTATTTGGAGTGGAAATTAAATTTCCTCTTATACCTTTAACAGTGATATTATTTCAGTTTTTAAAACATTAACTTGTAAATTTAAATGTGAAAATATTCAGACATTTTTTTAATCAGTTTTAATTTAATTAACTTTTAATTACGTTTCATACGTTAATTACGTTGTCAAATCAAGAAAGGTGGTACTAGATTTTTTTTTAACTTTCAAAACTCCATTTTTTATTAATTTAATTTTATGCAGTTGTCATACAAGCCAAGAATATTTTCCCAAAGCTTAAAATCAATCAAAGTAAACTTACAGAAAAGAGATTCTTTTTTTCCCATTTGGCTTGATTTGATATTATTCTTCCCATTTTTCAAGATCTAATGAAATGAGCTTATTGAAATTGGGCACATTCTACATTTAATTGATGCACTTCCTATGATATTTCGAATTTTTAATATGTAGCGATGGAAAAATTACTTAAAATAAATGCTGAATTAAAAATAACTTAAATTTTGTTACTACTGGAAAATATTTTTTTACATAGTGGAGCAAGTTGGCGTCTCTTTAAATAAAATGTGTGAACAGTACAGCAAAGAGAAAATTTCAAAATTACTTTTGCTACTTAAAAACCTTATTTTATAGATTTCTACTAAAATATGCACTGATGATTATGGACTTGCACCTGCAATTGTTCATGATTTTTTTCAATCAATGATATCTCACAGAGGAAATTTGATAAATAAATAAAAAAGTTATTCAAGATGTACACTTTAGTCCTGTGCCAACACTAACCCCTTCTCCCTTACATGATCTAGATTTTAACAAAAATAATGTTTCTGAGCATATAATTTTGCCAAAATTAATTTACTTGTTATTTTTTATTCTCTCAATTTAAAATTTTTTTTTCTGGAAGAAGTGTACTAAATTTCAGAAAAAAAAACAATGCATTAGAAATTATGTCTTGTTTGGGTGAATACTAATTCTAAGGGATTTTTATAAATTGATTGTCAATTGCTAAATTTTTAAAACCTAATAAAATGCTGTTCTTTATGCTTGAAGTTTGAATAAGTTGATTATTTTATTTCTTAAAAATAAATAAAGCATCAAAATATACTTTTTTTTCCTTTCTCTTTTTAAAAAATTTACTTGTCCCTTAAAAAATTGCTCCAAAGTGTTCTTAATCTGTAGAAGTGCCCCATAGTTAATTTTCCATAATAATTAATTTTTGATTATTTTTGTTATTCTGATGTGCCTCAATATAAAATAGAAGACAAATTTTACCTACCATTTTTTTTAAATATAATTATGATGCTAAACCTTGTGTAGTTTATAAAGGTAACCTCAAATCAATTAATTGAAAATTCACTTAGCTGTAAGCAAATTAGGAATATATTTTTCAATTGTGGAAAATGTACTTTTGGTATTGTTTTTAAAGTTTTGCATCTTTTGATTCAAAGTTTATATATGTATAAAATATAATTTATTAATATGATATCAGAATTCTATTTTTTTTAATGAAATATGAAAATATCTTTAATTTGTAGTTTTTAGTAGCTTTTTGTAATTCATTTTTATTGTTTTTAGTACAAAGGAGCTAATATCCAACTTCTTGATCTTCCTGGTATTATTGAAGGAGCAGCAGCTGGTATAAAATATGTTTTGTATTTATTTTTGTTTTGTTTAATATTGTGTAATGTAACAGTATGTTATCTAAACTCTTTTTTAAATTTTTTAAAAATTATATGACCTGAATCTGCTTAAACATTAAACGTACTTTCAATTAAAAAAGTAATCTTAGTTGCTTTTTTTGTGACTATGAGTTTTATCTCAACTGTAAAATTAATTATTGTTTTACTTTTTCTCTTGGCTGTCATTGGTTATTGCTTTCTTTGCTGTAAAAGGGTTAGTAGGGTGGACCATATGCTAACATCGTACAACACAGTACAAATAATAGTCCTGACCATAAATTTATATAATATATTTATTATTCAGTTGCTCACAAATAATTTAAAATATTTCTTCATTAAAATAAATTTGGATTATCTTATTACGGGGGCTTTTTTTTATTACCAGAATATTCATTATAGCACAAGATTTGCTGATCATCAAATTATTTGTATTAGGTTTGTGAAATAGTAAAAATAATGTCTTCATCTTATCTGCAAATTGATTTATTTAACTTTTTTATATTTATTTATCAAGTAGTTCATTGATTATTACATCCTTATATATACTTTCTTATGAAGATTAGGGCTTTTTACTTTACCTTTTTAAATTAGGAAAAAAAAATGAATTTTAAATTTTTTTTTTAATGTATTGATATTTAATATTTGGCTGCATTTGTTGAATTAAATATCACATTATTCGTTTTTCAAATAATAAATAACTGAAAGTCTTAAAAGTTTTTATTTTTGTGCATAAAAATTATTTCACTTAGGCTAAAGCAAATTTTTTACCTTCACTGTTAATAAATGTGATTCAAGACTTTTATAGATATGTTTGTTTGTTGGCACTGTATTAGACAAAAATCATTCTTATTTTTTATTTGCTAACACCTGCACTCTTTTAAAAAGTTTTTTATGGTCACAGTGAAGAAAAACTGCAAGGATAACTATATGCACAAAGATTTCTTTAATTTCATCTGCACCAAAAACCACATCAATGAATATCAGACAGCTTTTTTTATGTTTAAATTTGTTAGATAAAATGATAATCATGAACATTTTAAATGAAATTTATTAGATAAAGAAGAATAAAAATGATTGTTTAATTACAAATCTTGTACGGTTGATTTTTTCTGAATTAAATTTCTATTTCAATTTTTAATTCTTTCCCCTTTAAAATGATTTAAAAAATATCTATTCCTATTAATAATGTAGTAATCATTTCATAGAATTAATGAATAGTGAATTGAGGGAACGTTCACTCATCTTGTACGAAAAATGTTAAACAACTTATTTATTGTGCTTTTGTCTTGAGATTATTGAAAAAAATAGTTCAATACTGTTTGACTAAGGGACTCTTGAATTCAATTAAACATTTTGCTGAATATTGATGTGAGAGAATATTAATTAATTGTTTATGGTTATTACTTAATGCAATAGTACTATAAAAATTTCCTATGATCTTAAATTATTATAAATTATTCAATGTTTCATTAATATAGTTATTCTTGAAGCTGTTAAAATTATTTTTTATAAACAAAAAGATACTGATATTAAAAATGGTATATTTTATTATTTTTTTGCAATTAAATTTGTCTTTATTATGCTTAAGTAATTATACTATTTTTTTGGTTTATATGCCTTTCTTCAAAGTAGCCTGCTATATATTACACCGTTCCAAAAAAATTTCTGATTTTTTTTTTTAATTCTAATATTTTTTTTTTTTGTTGAAAAATATTGTCAAGAGTTTTTTTTTTTTNTTTTTTTTTTTTTTTTTTTTTTTGGCCTACTATAAGGCTTGCAATTTAAATAGTTCAGATTTCATCATGAAACTGTTTCATGCAAATGCAGCTCTACTAAAGAATGGTTTGGAAGCAACATATATTTTAATATTGTAATTGTCATTTTCTCTCCTCTTTAGGTAAAGGTAGAGGTCGCCAAGTTATTGCTGTTGCAAGGACAGCGGATTTAGTGCTGATGATGTTGGATGCAACTAAAGGAGAAATTCAAAAGTAATAATGTTTTATTGAGTTCATTTAATATTTTAGATTTTTATTTAGATTTATATTTAATATTTACATAAAGTCAAGATATTGATACCTTTATCATCATAGTTCTTGTTGTGCCTGGATGATGCACAAGGCCTTGAGTCTTGTTCTCTCTCGTCTTTAGTCCAAATCTGTCTCCTCTGCCTAGCTTCGTTTAGATCATCCAACCATTTTTCGCCCTGTAAGTTTGTTCATGTGAGAGTTACATGGGAGAGAGCATCATGGCATCATTAAAATATCATGGGCAGGCATCATTAAAATATTTCCGAGTCAGATGCATTTTCTGTTTTTAATTTCTTTTGCCATAAATCTTATTTTATAGTTTTTATGTAATTGCTCATTTGAAGGAATATAAAGCTAAAAGATTGAATAGATCCTAAGAAGGGATTTAGTTTGAAAATTGTTCAATTTGTTCTCTTGTGATTTGGTTAGTTTCCAAGTCATATGGCATAAATCAGTCTTATAGCATAGTAAACTTTATTGTTGAGTTTGTGTAATAAAACTGAGGAGTTTGAAATTTTATGTAACTATTCAGGACTGACAAAAGAGGTACTTCTCCAGGCTTTCAAACTTCAAGAGGTCCCGCAGTGGACTGATCATTAAGACACGGTTCCCACCAGATCACCGAAGTCAAACATCACTGGCTGTGATCAGTGTGACCACTTGGATCAATCTGCGTAGGGACCGAGGGTGTGCGGTATTGGTCCTCGTTAGACTGTTCTACCGTAAAGTGCTCGACTTCACGTGCAGGTCGTCGGGCTATTAAAGCAGGGGAGCCATCCCCTCTGCAGAGGATAAAAATTGTGATGGTATGTCTTCGGATCATCCTCAGGGATGTTTCCCAGACCGTCGCCAATAGCCCATTGTGCAGCTCTAGTGTGACGTAAATGAACTACAACTACAACAACAAACTTCAAGAGTATGTGTATTAAGACAAGTTGTAGTAGGTATATAATCAACATCTAAAAGCTGTTTCAAATCTGAGTTTACGGCTATTAACGTTCACCTTCTTAGCCTTGTAATTTTAATCGCAACTCAGCTGTTTACCACTGAGTATATTTTTCATCAGCATTGTGGTTGGTGCAAGTTAGGTGCAGAATTCAAACCCAGGTTATCTTAATGGGGGGCGAACACTTTTTCCCCTGCATCAGCACAGCTCTAGACAAGTTATTATGTAACACAAGCGTGAGATAATATCCTTATGGTCTTCGGCTATCAGAGTCAGAAAGGTTTATTTTATGTATGATACCATGGGCCAAGAAGAAAGAATTGAAAGATCATGTTTTTCAGTTATTGTAATCCCCCCCCCGGTATGTAAATCTATTAGCATCTTCAACTTCTGCATTTTGTTAGCTAAGTTTAGTTAAACATTTCCAATTATTTTCATACATTTGGTTTCCTATGTTTTTATATTTAGAACGACCATTTGTATGATTTCAGTCATAATTTATCTTTTTGGTTCCATATCCTCAAATCTGAAGGCTAATTGAGCAATGTTGTTTACATATTCTAGATCTTCCAAAAAAATTGTCCAATTCTATCTTATCTTTATTTTTTTCAGTTGAGTTTTCTTTGTAATCCATTCAATAACCACAATGAACAAAAGGTATGAAAAATATATTTTGTTTTCAATTCAGATTTTCAAATTTTCAGTCATTGTGCTCTTTACTAAAAAACATCCTCCGCTGTTGGTCCTTAACACTTTGATAATGTTTATTATTTTTATAGCTATATTATAAACCTGTGAGATATTCCATCAACATTCACATTTATGCAGTTGAAAGCTTTAGCAAAATATATTAAATTCAGGTAAAGGGTTGAATTTAATTGAGTACTCTGTTCAGTTATGCTTCACAACATGGTGGTAATCTCTATTGTAAATCCAATGAATTTATTGAGAGCGATTGAACCCTTTCGGTAACATGAGACGGCCTGTTCATTTCTTAATTTTTTATTAGCAACAGATTTTATTTGTTTTAAAATTATATTAGCAAAAATTTTTGACGGAATCTGTGATTGATATGTTTCTTTGGTTTGGGTACTGAACTGAATGACAAATTCCACTGTATTTTGTTTTTAGTACAATCTCACATTTATGATTGATATGTTTCTTTGATTGATATGATTGAACATATCAAAGAAACATATCAATCTATGATTGATATGTTTCTTTGGTATGGGTACTGAACTGAATGTACTAAAAACAAAATACAGTGGAATTTGTCAATCTCATCATAAAGGTTTTAGGTCCTGGCTAAGTTTATTATATTTTTCAACCAGCATATGCTAATAATGTTACAGAAGAACCTAGTTTTATAGTTTTAGCAATATTAAACTATTGGAAAGCTATAAAATTTATTTTGATGAAACGAAAATAGTTTTGGTTAATAATTTATTAACAAAGATAACTGAAAAACCACTATAAGAAATAATAAAAGTATGAAATATTGTAGTTTCTCTATCACATCTTAGTAGTTTGAAATCTGTATAATTAAATATCTCTTGTGGTATCAGTGTTGGAAAAAAGTCCAGAATCAGTTTTTTATTAGCATAGAAAATAGGTATAGCATAATAATGCCATAGGAAACATATATAATTCATACATAATATATACATTTATAATTTTAATAATTCAAACAAGTTATATTTATATTTCAACTTTTGTTTTACTCAACATTCTTTTTGCAGGGAACTATTGGAAAAGGAGTTAGAGACAGTTGGCATTCGACTGAACAAAGAGAAACCCAATATTTATTTCAAGGTTAGTATATTAGATTACTTGCTTTTAATTATGTGTTGTTTTTATATTTATGCAATTTATTAGACAAAATTCCTTTTCTATATTGCAAAATTTGATATTGTCCTTTAATTTTTTTTATTGCTTTTCAATTTGTCCATTTTGCCGTGTAAAACCTATTTATTTTTTAGTAAAAGAGTAGGTTGTGATAATTATAAAGAATTTTGGAGAAATAGCCTATTTATATTTTTTATCAATATTTTTTTTTCTTCTCTACCGTTTATGGAAAAAAAAATATGGTTAAGTGCCCAAAGCTAGAAAAGTGAGGTTTTTTGATTATAGAGATTCTTCAGAAATGGAATAATATTAAACTAAGCATTTGTTTGTAAAATGTAATAAGTTGAAGACATAATTGCTTGTTAACAGATGTATCAGTATTAGACATAATGGTAATTACAAGCTTAAGTAGAGTGCAGATTTTCCAGATCAGTTTGAATTGAAGCTTATACAAATAAGCAAAAATCCTGATTAGATAATATGAAAATTTTTAAAATCAGCTGCAGCATTTCAATTTTTAGGTAACTTTTTCTTCTTACCTTTCCCAGACTAAAGGCTGAGAATTGTAATTTTCAGATTCAAATTCCTAATTTTTTTTACACTTTTGTTTGACACTAAAATTTTTTTTTTTTTGGCCTTGAACCCCTTTGTCTAATGACACCAAGAAATAAAAGATGCCATTTTTTGCATCTTTTAGAAAATCTCATGATAAAGAATAATTTTCCTGAAAAAAGAAAATGAGAACAAACTTTTTTTTGGAAAAGCTTGGGGGAAAAAATGCAAGTTCTTAGATCAATATGAAAATTCAAATATATTAGATGAGATCTGCTAACAAAATTCAAATATTCTATAAAAGATGCTTTATGCAATTGATTTTTATGTTTGATTTAATCAAAAGTCTTATTGTGTTTAGAAATCCATTTAGTTTAATGTTTGTTAAGTAATGTTAAATTCTACTTTTTCCCTCAAATCTAAACTCATATTTTGGAAGAAATAGAGCAAACTCTTTTATGGAAACTTTAGTATGAATATTATTTTTGAAATGCAAATTTTTTTTCTTCTACCTAGTGAAAATAACATCTATTTGTAATAGATAGTATAAATACCATCAATTAGTGTTGGTAAACTGTGCCATTAAAACCGTCTAACAAAATTTTTTTTTTTTAAATTCAAACTCTACATAACATAATAGAAACTGTTTACATAGGAAACGTTTTCCTTTAGTTTTTAAAAGAAGACCTATAAGTGATAATGTCACTGTTAGATAAAATAACCATGAAATTTCTCAACTAATTTACGACTGAATTTTTAAGAAATAACAATTTTATCTCAATTGTGTTTCGAAATTCTCTTATTATATTGTGTTTTTATATTCAAAATGTTCAATCCCCTTAAAAATGTGAAATAACATCCTATTCATTCTTATTTCTATTCTATTTACCTTTATTTGTACTTTTTGAACTTTTTTTAAAAGAAATATGGTTCCTCATAAATAAAAAGATGTATAGTAGCCTGCAATAGTACTCTTGTTTATTGTTATTTAATTATTTTTGCATATAATTTTATAAATTATTTTGAGAAGAAATGCATTTGTTTCTTATTGTTTTAGTAATCCACTAAAAAACTAAGTGCAGGAAATTGAATTTCTTATTCTTTTTCCTTGTTTACCACCAGGAGAAAAATAATACTAAATTATGGTTTTATTCTTTTCGTTTTTATTTTATTTATTTAAATATTTGTTTTAAAAGGTAATATCTAAGACAAACATAATTTAAAATAATATCTACAACAAATATAAATTCTAATAATTTTATTAATTTAAATTTTCCTTTATTTTTTAACATATTTTCAAACAGTGCCAAAACAAAAAAATTAAAATAATTCAGATTTTTTATTTTTAGAGTTGATATTTTCTTAAAGAAAAAGCACCATAACCAACCAGATAATCAAGATATACTAAAAAATATTTCCTAGAATTCCTCCTTGTAACCCTTAAATAATAAAATAAATTGTAAAAACCTGTTTTTATTAATTTATATTTATTTAAAGAAAGAATTTTTTTTTTATCTAAAGCAATTGTAAATGTAAGCATGTAAATTTTGAGTTGTATATATTTTTAATATTTTTGTGATTTTTTTTTTCCAATTGCAAAGGTAATTAAATTAGTATTAAAAAATTTAAAATTTTTTCTTAAAACTTTTATACTTTAATTTCATTAATACAAAACCTGATCCAAATAGTAATTAGTATTCATTGATAATGTTGTACTCTTTAAAATATTAGTTGTATTTTATAGAATCCTTATAAATTATTTGTCCTCTCTTTCATTAACCAGATTGATATTATTAATAAAAGCTATTTTTTTCCTCAAATCTAACTTCACATTTTGGAAGCAACAAAGTAAACTCTTTTATAGCAGTCTTAGTAAAAATATTAGTTTTGAATTGCAAGTATTTATTAATAATGCTGTACAATTTGAAATTTTAGTTGTGTTTTATTGAATCCCTGTAAATAATGTGTTCCATCTTGCATTAACCTTAGTAAAGTTTACAGACATTACTTGAGTAATATTAACTTCTATTTTAAGAAACATTTTTTAATCATGTTTTTATTACTTTTACTCTATAATTTAGATCAAAAAAGCTGGAGGAATATCATTTAATGCAATGTGTAACTTAACTAGATGTGACGAAAAGCTGGTTCAAATGGTGTTACATGAATATAGTATCCTTTTGTTATGTTTAAAAAACTCTTATTTGTTAAGAGTATTTTGAAAAATCATTAACATTTATAGCACTTTTTTTTGGAAAAAAAGATTTTATGTTTTGTTGTCTTAATTTTTTTAGACTTTTTCAACAAAACTAAAAAAAAATTTTGAAGGCAATTCTCTTTATGACCAAACGCAACCAACGGCAGAAAAAATGTTAACCGTGATATCACCTTCGTTTAATTTCCACAAATATATTTTATTCTACTTATTTATAGGTTTATCAGTATTTTTTAAGTTTAAAAAATAGTTGCACAATATTAAAAATGCAATTTAACTTTCCTTATTTATTTTATCAAATAAATTTCATTAGTACGTATATGGAACTCAATAAGTAGAACTCAGTTTGGATGTGATAAAAATATTATGTGTCATAAATAACTTAACACTGATAAATGCCAAACATAACACCGAAGAAAAATATGTCATAACCTATTCAACATTACTTACGGTACTATACAAATATTTTATTTTTTTATTTATTATTATTATTTTTGCACTATCCCTTTTCTGTAATTTGCATTGAATTTGTTTAATAAGTTTTGGTGTTGTTCATAATCAAACATAAACTATTTTTAAATTTATTCTATTATAAATTTGTAAAATAATTTTTATATCTCTGGAAAATTAGTTCGACTTTTCGTTATATAGAATATGAAATTAGCAAATTTTATTTCAATGCCTTCTACTTCATTGATGCCTATCAGACATCAGGTCCACCATTTAAGCAACAGTTCTTAACTATTTGATTTGTAAATTGCTGTTTTTTTTCTTTAATTTTATAATTAACGTTAATCGTTTCATTAAATTTATACAGAGAAGAAATTAGAGGGGACGTAATATGTAAATCATTATTTATAGTGCAAAATAACTAATATGTATATATATGTATTTTAAAAAAGTGTCGATATGGATAAAACTTATTGTGAAACGTATTACATACGTAATTTGTTATTATATGTATGATTAATGAAAGAAAACTTGTTCTGCTTAATTTAATTTCTAATTGATCAATTAAACCTTTATAAATTTATCAGGATGTTTTGCTTGAACAAAAGTAACTGGAATTTTTTTATTAAGTCATTAGTTTGTAATAATTATATAATTATTTTAACAATTTTAGTTAGAATATTAAGTTTAGTTATAGTAGTATTTTTAAATATTGAGCATTATTAATAAATTCTATATGAATGTTAATTAGTAATTATGAAGGATAAATTTTAAAAAAAAGTGATTTTTTTAAAATTGTTTTTAAAATTTATGATTTTAGTTAATAGTTTTAACAGATTATGGTAAATGGACCTCAGTGAAAATCGCTTTAACAAGATTGTTGAACTAAATTTTTATCAGTTGTCTAGTCAATGCGTTCCTTATCCTGTATTAGAAATATTTAATGCTGAGGTGCTATTCAGAGAGGACTGCACTCCTGATGAGCTCATAGACGTAATCAACAGAAATCGTGTTTATCTTCCATGCCTTTACGTGTACAACAAAATAGATCAGATATCTATTGAAGAAGTAGATCGACTAGCTCATTTGCCCAATTCTGTAGTTGTAAGGTATGTAAAAATTATTTCAACTCTCACACGACGATACTGACTTAACATAAAAACTAATATCTATTTTAAGTTCTGAATCTGAAAAGATGTTGTTTAATGCCATCCAGGAGAAAAATAATTGTGAATTTCGTAAAAAACAGTATGGAATTTTGTAAAAATTGCTTGTCGAACTGCTATTTCTAGAAAATTTATATTTTTATGGTAAAAAGGAACAAAATGAAAGAATGCCTATAAAATTTAAGAATTTTTTATGTAACATTATTGTTAGCAATATAACAGGGTTGCCACAGGTGACTAAAGATGTGTCTATTTGGAACTATTTCCTGACTATAGCTACTTTTTTGCCCCAAAAAACTGAAAAAGGTAACTACTTTTGCCCAAAGACGACTTTTATGAAACTTTTTACATTTCTAACGAAGTTACTTCAATAATAAACTAGGTGCTTGAAAAAATACTTCCCTTTTCCTTTTATCCCCTCCTTCACAGGAATATGCCTATAGGCAGTCATGTATTCATGTATGTAGCAATGCTGCCTATAGGCAGTCATGTATAGGCATATTCCTGTGAAGGAGCCTTTCTCTGAAATGACTATTGTTACTTTTATAGTGGTTGATTACATTTTTACTATTTAAGTTTAAACTATTTATTATTAACAGTTTATTCACCTTATTAATAGCAAATGAGTCTTAGTCAAATTGAACTTATCTTTTTCGCAAGTCTTTAGTTATTATTTTTTATTATATACTGAACAGGACCACATACTCGTATGGATGTAAAAAATATGCAACTAATTTTTCTGGCCTCTAACGCAATTAAACAATGAAAATATATCTGGCAAGTTGGTGCCATTTTCCACTCTTAATATGCTAATTTTAACACTTCTCGATTTCTCGTAAGGAACGACAGTTTATTGCACATTCCTCTCGTCTTTCATTGGGAAACGTAACGCATGTTCATTTTCTTTACCACATGATACAAATATCTTCTTGGCCACAAGTTATTTGGCTACTGTTTTCATGGTTTTTGGCAACTATTTTAGTTTTTTGAGCTTTTGCATGCTGTGCTTAGCATTGTGAAACCTGTCATTTTTTTCCAGCTGCAAGCAAAAAATTAAGCTAATAAAGGCAAATATTTTTGATATATTTTCTTGTGGCATCCCTGATATTATTATACCCTTTACAACTTTTATTAAATGCCTAAATTTATTTGTCTATGCCTGTTAGTTGGAAAAATGCATCACAATCATCATCTTTTATAAGTTTTTCTACTTCAGACAAAAAAAAACCACCTTTTTTTAATGTGTATCAAGATTTCTTTTTGAGCAAATGTATGTGGCGTTATTTTTGAAAATTGAGTAAGTCCTTTTGAAAAGTAGAATAAGGTTTTTAGAGGTTAACAAAGTAAACTAAACACAGTGGCGCGACAGCCCATAAAGGGCCAAGGCCTACTACACAACCCAGTTTTTTTTACTTTTGGGCTCTGAAACGCAAGAGCAGATGTTCCTGTTGGGTGGTCAGCCCAATGTGGAACCCTGAGTGTTTAGCTCCCAAGCAGGCTCGGTACTCGTTTTATTGACCCACTAAAGGGATGAAAGGCTGAGTCGACCTTGCCTGGCCCAAGGATCGAAACAGGATCCTGTGGCACGACAGCACGAAACATTACCTCTCAGCCACCGGGCGGTTAGAGGTTAGTGTACAAATTTAAAAATATTGCTAAAGGTCAATAAATTAAGGTGATGTTTTTAATTGTATAATTTGATAAAACATCTAAAGGCAATGGTGATTATTAAAAAATAATGCAAAATAAAAGATTTTTTTAGCTTTAAATGAACTTGACTATTTATTACATTAAATGAATTAATTTATTACATTCCATCATACATTTTAGAGGAATGCATTGTACAAGTATCATTTTTTGAGTTTAAAAATTTTTGCAATGTGTCCTTAAACAGATCTTAATTTCTTTCTAAATTGATGTTTACTCTCAATATGTGAAAATCTGACCATATTAATAATGGCCTGCAACACTTTTATCATCTGCTCTTCAAATTTACATTTCAATCCAACATTTCTAGTATGTAGCACAAGTGCTTTACAAGTTCACAATGCTTACAAGTGCACAAAGCTTAGGTTAATGAATTTAAAATTGAGGTATTTTGAATCGTGTTTATACCATTCTGCGAGTGTGAATCATTTAATTAATTATTATAACTCACAGCTTATTATTTTCAAAATGTGCTTTAATTATTTTTATATCTTTTCAAAGTGTAGACAAAATAAGATTATTCATTTTATGCAGAAAATTATTTGAAAATTTCAAACTGTTTTACATGGTTTCTGTAATCACCACCCTAGAAGATATATTAGGATTTTAAAAAAAAGCTCTACATTTTAGAGGCTGCATACAAATATTTTTAAGGAAAGTCAGAATCTAACAAATCGTTTTTGACGTTAGAACACGAAAGTAACTTCATGTTTCATTGGGAAGTTTAATTGTTTTTGGTATTTTTCACTCTGTATTCCTCACTAATGATTTTACATTTTTCAATGGCATTTTATGTATCTCCCATAAATATTAAATTTTTATCCCAAATGTTTCTAACTTTTTTACCTTACTTTCAACAAGGATTCTAAAAATATGTATACTTAAGGCACGCCTTACTGAACACTCTCTATATTGAATAATCAGGGAGTGCAGCGTTTTTAAAAAGTGCTTAAACATGCTTATTTTATTTTTGATTTACATTTTTTAAAAGCCCTTAAAGGTGCTTTTTTTTATGTCAAATTAATGTTGTTTAATGTTTTTTTATGTTTGTTATGTTAAAAGTGCTTAATTTTTTATCTTTTAAAAAGAGATTTTTTCTTTGCTGTATCGATTGTCATTCTAAATTACAAAAATTTCATGATTTTCACAATTTTCTCTGCAATATTTATTAGAAACTAGTTATTTTATCATGATTATGTAAAGTTTTTAAATTTTTTTTGAATTTTATTGATTTTATGTTTATAAATTAAGAACTTCAACAATGGAAAAAATTTTTATTACTGCACATATCCTAATTATGATTTTTTTTTGTTTTGGAAAGTGATTAAAAGTTTTTTTAGTGCTTAAAAAGTACTTAAAAGGTGTTCATTTTTTGTTGAAAAATCAGACTACGCACCCTGATAAAAAAGTTGAACTCAATTGTTTATTAGACATTATGGAATATCTTCTGTTATGAATAAATAATTGAACTTACTTGTTTATGTAGTTTGTTTATCTATGATAAAATATGTCAAGACGTAAAGCCCCCTTTTTATCTGTAGAGATTTGTGACACACCTGTTGAGAATCTAAAAGAAAAATTCTATAGAATAAATATCTTGCATGCAGATCACATGAATTGCTACAGAAAGCTACTTTGAAAATAAGTGAATAAGAATTTATTCATGTAGTTATGATTTTTTAATGTCTATTTCTCACTGAAGTTAACCTCTTTCTCTTGATTGTAAGATATTATGATGTTTTTATTTATTTCGTTATTTTTTTAAACCATGTCAAATAATGACTAATTTTACATGAAAAGTGTTTACTTATTGACCTGGAATAACTTTGACTAGTTTTTCCAAAATTTCTACTTATTTTACCAAATAATAATTGCCATTTAAATTACCAAATAACAATCATAAAATAAGCAGACTTTTTTTTTTTTTTTACTTTGTCATGTAAGATCTTAAAACTAAAAAATATTTTTTTAATGTAAAATATTATATTACTTTTTAAAAAATTTTAACCCCAAAATTAACTGCCATTATTGAAGTGTAACTTTTTAACGTAACTGAGTGTAACTTTAACGTAACTGAGTGTAACTTTAACGTAATTTTATCAATTCTTTTAAAATATATAGTAGATGAAAGCCTATGACCCAACTAGATGTAAAATTTGGGATTTATAATAAACTGATAAGATGCAGAAAAAAATTAGATGTCTGTGTATGGCACTATGCTACAGTTTTTTCCCTTAAATGTCTTCATTATTTTATTTTTTATGTTTCATGTTTAAAATTGTATCAAGTTTTTATGTATCAATTTGTATTCTTATTTCTTACCTCATTGATATTTTTTAAATTAATTGATAGCATATCATCATTTTTCTTTCAGTTGTAATATGAAGCTCAATTTAGATTACCTGTTAGATAAATTGTGGGAGTATTTAGCATTAATTAGAGTTTATACTAAAAAAAGAGGAGGTATGTAATATTTTGCTTTATTAATGCTCACTTACTAATGCTGCATTGTTTGCTTTTGCTCTAGCTTTCTAAGAAATTATTTTATATGTTCTGATATTACCCAGTGCAACTTCATAAGAATAAAGTAAATAAATTTGTGAAGTTGCTTGTTATTTTTTAGCAAATAGAAATTAATATATTCTTATAAGAGGATGCCATACCACAGGAGAAACTTTTTGTTGCAAATTCTCTTTCTCCTCCATTACTAATTTAAAAGAAAGAAAATGTGACTTTTGACAAACCTTGAGTATGCCACAAAGTTTCAATTGCTGAATTTTTTTTTTTTTTTTTTTGAAATCTCAAAATGCAAACAAATTATTGGAAGAGTACTTCTCCATCGCATAATCCTAAGTTAATTTCTTGTAATTTATTTTCATTTTGATATTTAAAAAAAATTCTTTTCAGTATTTGAACTCTAGGTTTGTCTGAACTCACTTTTTCTATACTTTGAATTTTAAATTAGTCATGAAGGTGAAAGAGAATTTGTGGCGGAAAGTTTCTCTCGTGGTATGACGCACTCTTAATGTCTGATTATCAGTGTCATTTTTAATATACATTTTGCGATGCCACAGTAAATGAAAATTGCAACAAATGCCGTCTTTAGGCAAAACTGTTACAATTACAGCAAATGACCTTTTTAGGAATAATTGTTAAAATTGCAACAATAGCCTTTAATGGAAATTACTGTTGAGAATGCCATAAATCATTCTTTACAGAGTAACTAATAAACAAAGTTAATTTAATAGGTAGAGCTAATTAGTTATTAAAAAGGATGAAGGAAATTTTTTAAAAATTTATGTTCGTTTTTAAAAGTGGCTTAAAGGAGAATAAATCGAACACTATTAATATTTTTATGGAGGAATAACTGTCACAATTGCAAGAAATAACCTTCTTAGGAATAATTATTAAAATTGCAACAATTACGTTTTTTAGAAATTACTGTTGAGAATGCCATAAAATAATACTTTTCAGCATAACTAATAAACAAATTTATTTTTGGCAGGTAAGCTACCTTGTTATTAAAAAGACAGATGAGAATGTTTTAATTTTTTTGCATTTTTAAGAGTTGCTTTAAGTAGAATAATTAGAACATTTATTGTATCTTTTTTGAAAGGCCACAAATTCTTTTATGTTAAAGCAAAAATGCTCTTATCTATATGATCCATGTTAAAATAAACTACTATTTTGCAAATAATAATGATTTCAATGCTGAGTTACTTCGCATTATGAGATATTAAATACCAAATCATGAATAATTTTGAAGTTTGTATCAAATATTATTTTCAATTTCATTTTGAAATTTATATAAATAAGAATATGTTACTTGCAACTATGTGGAGTATGTTATTTTTTCTTTCCTTTCATTAATTGGAGAAAGCCAAAATCTAAAGAAGTGTTTCAATTTCTCATTTCTGAATCAATTGAAAATTTAATAGCAAAATAATACATGCATATATATATTTAAGTTACTAAGTTCTTTATTTTGCATTAAAGCCCATACTTTTACTATATTCTGCTTCAAAAAGTATAACTGAAATTTAAGTTCAGAGAAGGGTGCAACATGCTTTTGAATTGCGTATGAATATCTTTCTTGATGTTGATAATAATACCTCAACTATTATTGCAATATTTAGTCATTAGTAATAATTATTTTGAGATTTTAAAACTAATGTGTATTTTTTTTGGTGTTGATTTATGCTGAGGGGAGACAGTTTCAACAAAAAATATACATAGGGAAGGAAGGTTCACTTCCATAGACATATTGTAAACCAGTCCCCAAGGTTTAATGTAGTCACTGTGTATAAAGGAAAAAACAACATTAAGAGCACAGCCACAAGAGTTTTTAAAAAGGATTTGCACCCTCCTTTCCTCCCAACCACTGCTAGGGTTGGGAAGAAGAAAAGCTCTTTATTATTGGTTATTTTATTATTTTTGGTTTGTTCTGAATTTTAACACTATTGATAAACAGCACTGTACTATTAAGACATTTCTTTGAGAAAACATTTATATAATCCTTGTTAATTAAATCTGCTAACAAATTCTAACATAAAAAGAAATAATAAAATAGTGGGTGACCGAGTACTCAACCATACATGTAGAGTTAACCAGGCATGTGATTCTTTCTCTAATTCGTGGAGTTCTGCGAATTTCAAGACCATTGATTTGCGGAAATCTGCAAATCAATAATTTATATTCCGACAAAAAAATTTTAAAGTTCCATTAATCTAAATTTTTTTTAAGTGTGAAATCTCCATGACAAGACATTTATACTGCCTTTACCAGCACTCTCTTTTTTTCTTTAAATTCTTATTCACGCCAGATAACGACTTTTTTTACACAGATTTGTTAGAGAAAAACACAACCTCGGATAAACATAAAAATCAAAAAACATCGAGACTGAAAAAAAAATTTATAATAACTTGAGCTAGAATTAATGAACAACTGTGACAAACACAAAAATTTAAATTGATAATCTAAACTGTAATTCCAGAATAGAAAACATTTAAATGATCATTTGCTTGAAAAAACTGTTTTTTTCTTACTTTTTGTTTTAAACTTATATTTTAGGGAGTAGTAATTTTGTCACAAATTTCGATTTGTAGCAGAAGAATTACTTAATCAATGTTTGGTAATGTTGCTCGCCTCCGTGACTTTGGTTCGCAGGTGCCCACTGGGTAACGATAAATGAGCAACACTTCTTGCATCTTCTATGGCGAAGAACGAAAGTTCAGTACCTGCCGTTATTAAAAAAAAAGAAGACTTAATTAATGTGATATATTTGCCTACTTTTCATAAGGCAATTGGGTTGAATTTCTAATATATTGCGTCTGGAAAATTTTGAATTGAGCATTACTACGTGTTTGATACCATTGTAAATCAGTGTTTTAATCTCTTTTTCTCTTCTTTTGCAGTTAATGCAATGTTTTTCCATGGTTTTTAAAATTCCATTATTATTATAACATACAAAATTTGAATCACGCATTTGTGTAATCTATTTTGATGCGCTAAATTTGCATCTATATGACCGTAAACCCATGCAGTGTTTGAGTCAATTTATTAGGTTTTTATTACTGCGAGTTTTCTCAATATATTTTTTTAACAGCAGTTTCCCATGTTATTTACATATTCAAAGAGTATGACTTCTTTTCTATATTCTTTTGTTCAACCCAGGATATATAGTTTAAAGTCTCAGCATTAAAAACAAATTCTTTTAAAAGCAAAACAGCATTTAGGCTCTCTTGGTTAACTAACTAATGTTGTTAATATTGTTTTTGCATGCTCCTTATGTTGTAAAATGTTTTTTATTCAATGTCTAAGTATTTATTAAATAATGTTAAATCTATCTTTTTATTTGTTGTTGTATCTTTTTATTTCTGTCATTTCCTATACTCGTAGAAGTATTTTTCACCTTCATATATTTTATTTCAGAACCTCCTGATTTTGAAGGTGGTCTTATTCTTAGACGAGGTGCTACAGTAGAACATGTGGTGAGTTCTCCCTTCAAATTAATTTCATAAATCTTTTTCCAAAGTGTAGAATATTGTCTAAAATTTTTGCTTTAGTTTTACAGTAGAGCGTCGATTATCCGAACGCCAATTATCCGAACCATGTCCGAATTCGCTTCTTTTTTTTTTTCTATTTTTTTTTTTTNGAATTCGCCTTTTTTTTAAAGTTTAGAATGCTTTTTAACTTATCGACAATTTTTCTAAATTTAGAAGAATAAATATTATCCACTACATCTGAAGACCCTATTTAATTTACAACCTTTTTTAGCAGTCTTCTTATAGTAGCCAATACATGCATGTATTGTTATACAGTTAAACCATCATACCGCTTTAGCCCTCTTCAACTGAAAATTATCTTCCAAGAATGCGAGTTTCAATTTGACAGTCTACAATGGTTGGAATGAGGAAGGAGTTTATGAATAGATATGTGCTGAAGATCTACAATTTGGGGATGGGTACTTGTCACTTATGGTTAATGATCAGTGATTGCAGTGCTTGGAATCTTAAATCTTGGAATAAAATTCTTCACAAAAAAATAAACGAAACTGAAGTTTCTGAACCAGTAGATCTTCCCCATGAAAAGATGCCTGGTTATGTAGCAGAAGAAATAGAAGACTTGTGTCGAGACACTAAAAACGACCCAGTATTTTAAATGATGATGAATTTGTTGCTGAAATTTTGGATTAAAATCTGAAAATGCAGACGAAGAGAAAGAAGTAGGTGATCAAATTCAAGATAGTGGACCTTCTCATATAGAAGTATGCAATTCATTAGATATTGCAATGAATTGGCTAAAACGTCAAAATGATGTTGACCCAAATCAGTTGATTTATTTAAAAAGAATAAGGGATATGGCTGCTGAAAAAAGAGCATCTTCTTTGAAGCAAAAGTCTTTGCTGAATTTGCAATGAAAAATAAAGAAAAATTTGGTAACATCAGTAATTGATAAAATTTTTTTTTAAAAAAGCTGAAATATGATAAAAATAATTCAAAAAGAAGAAAAAAAGTTAAAAAAATAAATAAATAAGAAATATTTAAAAATTAAAAAAAAGAAAACTTTTAAACATGCCAGAGCTATTTTAGATAGTACTGCCAGTCCTAAGCCTAGAAAAAGTGTGAAGGAAAGTTATATTATGTGAAGGGAATAATAATAATTTAAATTTTTAAACTAGATTTTAAACAACTTTCCAATTATCCGAACCACGCTCGGTCCGAGCGGTTCGGATAATCGATGCTCTACTGTATTTCTATATTTTTAATCTTTTTTTTTTGTCTACAACTTTTGTAAAACCAGATAATATTTTTTTCATAAATATATTGCACTTGATATCATCAATAAAATTGTAGCTTGTGATGCCACAATAGGCATTACATATTTCCTTACTTTTAAAATTTCTTTAATTTCCTAAACTTATTTTTTTAAAATCATTCTTAATCAAATTTATTTAAATTAAACTAATTATAAAATTTTTATTACATTTTAGAAAAAGCGAACTTAAAATATTTTATTCCTTCCTTAATCAATGTAGCAGCTAACGTTTTATTTCAATACTAATGTAAGACTCATTATTTCACTTGTTGCGACTAAATCGAAAAGAAAAATCTATTTATAACTTTTTATTTCTTACCATAGAAATTTTTTCAGTTACATGGTTGTACTAATTCTCACAGTCTTTTTGGAGATTCGCTTTCACCAATTTATTTTCAAATTTAATATTGATTATGGGGGGTTGGCTTTATTTTTGGCTATGTTATCTTTCTATAAATCACCAACTATAGATCTCTTCCCATACTCCTAACTCTCTGTTAAGAACAATTCAATTACTTTTTAATTTGGCTCTTGATTAGGCTGGTCATGGGAGATTTATCTGCTATAGCCTGTCCTTATTGATATCATTATGCAAAATTTATTAATTAACTTAGAAGTCTTATTATGGATAAAATATAATTAACATGAAATATGACATAAAATATAATTACTCTTCAAATACTAGATGAAAGTTTTATTATAAGTATGATCCAGTTTTCATCTTCAACTGTCCTGTTTTCGTCACAATCGTCAATTATACCATACAACTCCAACCACATTTAATTTCGTCAGGATATAGCTACTTTTTGAACTTTAAAATTTCTTACAAGAAATCTTTTAGTTTTATAAAATAAATACAGTACACTCTCGATTATCCGTGCGCTGATTATCCGGTTTGCGGATTATCCGTGTTCATTCTGGAGTCACACAAAAAATATAAAGAGAAACATTTTCAAGATTAAAAAAATTTGATTCATGAAGTTATAACACTACCAAATTTTTGGAAGCAATATTCGTTATTGGATTGCAGTATATGGAATATCAGCAGCATGGTCAAAGGTAAAATCGTCTACGTTATCACGAAAGATCATACCGCTTGATGAACAATCCTATCCTCTTCAGATGTTCAAGAAAAATATGATAACAGTGTTCTCGAACAAGCAAAAGAAATCTAAGATTTCGAAATTCTTGATGAAGAAAATTGAGAAGATTGTTTTCAAAGTGATGCATGTGAGCCTGGCTTCCAGTATTTGACTGATGAAGACATCGTTATGTTGTTAAATCAAATAGTGATGATAGTAACTGATGCAGAAGATGTAGTAAATGAATGAAATACCATTTCTCATTCTGCTGCTCTGTGGAAACTTTATTAGATTATATGGGAGGATTTGATTACAGTGACATTGCTGCGGTTTGTGTGTAGATATATGGTGAAATATGTGTATAGATATATGGCGAAGACGCATTACACATTTTTTAATAAGGAAAATTCCTAGTTTGATGTTATGCATGCAAATGTCAGTAATTTTTATATTTTTTGTTCTGATATTGAATTTTTCTTCAATAAAAGAAGTTTTCGGATTATCCGTGTTTTTCGATTGTCCGTGCGACCTGTCCCGGTGATTAACCCGGATAATCATGAGTGCACTGTATTTAAAATTAAATAGTAATAAAAGTTATCGATAGGTATAAGTTTTTATATGCAATGTGGTTACATTTGTAATTTTTGAATGTTTTAACTGTTTTCATGATAATAAGTTTTGGGCACTTTTGGACAATAAATCGTGTTAGTCCAGTCCTTAAAAAAGTTTTAAACATTCAAATTCTCAAACCTGACAGTCTATTTTCACATAAAATATTAATTAAAAATCCTTTTGACAGTCAAGCTATGCCTTTTTATTAATGAAAAATTTACATAGCAAAAACTTTGCTAAGGTAAACTCTAAGAGATATGGAAAATTTGTTGAGGTTAAAAGTTAATATAGAATATTTAAGTTAAGGAATACCTAGACATTTTGTAGTTACCATATGATCATACATTTTTAAGCAAAATTTTTTATTGTGGATATGCAATAAGATATGCATATTATTTGATGTCCATAACAGTGTTTATATTTTCAACTAAATATTAAAGCTTTTATAATTTCAATTCTTCATGAAAAAATTCAATTAATTGCTTTAAAAATTATAAAGATCATTATTTTATAATTGAAAAAACTAGCAAAATATATTAATATTGATAAAGCTCTAAATGTATATTACTTTTGTCGATTTAATATCGGAAAACAAAATCATTGGCAATATTTATTCTTATTTGCATGTTTTTCAATAAATTTTCTACTCTATGATAATGTCTTCTAGATCTATTTAAATATTTCATTTACGATCAAAAATTGATCAGAAATTTTATTAAGGTGCAAAACAGAAAAGGGTTTGAAACTTTTTTTCAAGTAAAAAGATAAAAATGTTGACTGCTGACAACAATATTTGTGAAGCAAACTAACAAATTCAAAGAATGATGAAAAGTTTAATCTTTAACTATAGATGTAGGGGAATTTGGTTTTATCAATCACTCAGAATAACCTGTGAGTGTGAAATTGCCAGCTTTATTGAAAACAAGTATATGAGATTTTGTAAGAAAACTTAATTCTTAACACTCATATTATGCCCATGGGGCATAGGAACACTGTTTATTCTCATTAAAAATACAAAAGAGCTTTTTTGAGTAAAAAAAGTTTTTTTCCCCTTTTTGTAATAACTCCCTTATCCTACAGCTGTAATACTAAAATAACCAATATTGCAATTAAAGATGTTGATTATTTACCCATTCTATTGAACCCATTATTCTACCCCTAATTCTATTGAATATTTACCCATTACCAAGAATACCCATTCTTACTGATATAAAATTATGAATCATCAGCTCTCTTACCTATGAACCAGTTATGTGATTATCACATGGGTGAAAATGGAAAAGTCCTAGGGCTTCACATTTTAAGGGCCTCAAAACCAATTGCGTGAAACTTTAAACTTTTCAATAACCCATTACTAAGAATACCCATTCTTACTGATATAAAATTATGAATCATCAGCTCTCTTACCTATGAACCAGTTATGTGATTATCACATGGGTGAAAATGGAACAGTCCCAAGGCTTCACATTTTAAGAGCCCTCAAAACCAATTACATGAAACTTTAAACTTTTCAATAACCCATTACTAAGAATACCCATTCTTACTGATATAAAATTATGAATCATCAGCTCTTTTACTAATGAGCCAGTTATGTGATTATCACATGGGTGAAAATGGAACACTAGGGCTTCACATTTTAAGGGCCCCAAAACCAATTGCATAAAACTTTAAACTTTTCAAGTTTTTAATATTTTAGTATGTTTTGAAAAAATAAGAGGTTATCAGTATTTTAGCTGTTGCTTTATGGAAATTTATTTACCCTCTTATTGAAATTAAACTATAGAATTTATTATATTTAAATTGCAACTTTTATTTAAATTTTAAAAAATATGAATAGACTTGAAGCTTATTCAAAATTGACAGAGGTAATGTTTATAAAAATCAAAACAATACAATTTTACTAATTGAATTATTATTAGTTGTTAATCATTCTTTAAGCTATCCTACAAAAAATATATAGATTGAAATCTTCGCTATTATACAGATGTTTTGGTTTTATTTCTTATTTCCATACACAGAATTATTTATTTTCAAAAAGCCACTAAATATTTTAGGGCACGAAAATAATACTTTGCTCAAGACTTCCGTCTTTCTTAATTGTGCCTTACTTATGAAGAGAAAATAAATTTTCTTTAGTGTTTATTCAAAGTGAAAACTATTCACTTCGAAAGTTTTATCAAATTAAAATCATTGTATTTGTATGCAATTGAACAGAAAATACAGAATTTGTTGATATTGAAAAAAATTCACTTAAATGATGCTCGAGTGCTCAAAATTTCATGTTTTGCCGTAAAAAAAAAAAGAACTTTTATGTGACATAGACAATTTATGCATCTAAAATAATGGATGCAAACTTATTCAACTCTTTCAGTCTGTTAAAAACTCACTACTAATTCTTTTAAAAGCATTGTAAGTGTAATATTATATTTAATACTTCTTACTTCATTTAAAAAAATAAAAAAGCAGTTTTCATTGTTGAGGATACTGAAATTTATTTTATTCTACTCAAAAGATGGGTTTTTCGTCTTGTTAAAAATAATAATGCATGGGAAATAGTGTATCAAATCATTATTGCTATGAGGCCTATATTTATTTGCACTATTTGTGAAATTTGTAATTTTTAAGTTCTAATTCAAAATTTTCTATTTTATTTATTTTAGTGCCATGCCATACACAGAACTATAGCCAACGTATTCAAGTATGCATTAGTTTGGGTAAGTGTGCAATTTTTCATTTTCTTTTGACAAAACTTAAAAAATAGCTCTCTTATTTAAAGAGTACTACTAACTTAAGTACCTCTCTTTAATAAAAACTTAAATAAATGAAAGTTTATTTGAGTATTATTTTTCCTTTTCTTAAAAAGGAAATAAAATTATCTTGAATATAATTTCTTATTTACTATTGTTACTTATAATGCAAATAGAATTTTGTTTTTTCTCTCTTTCTTTTATTTCATGTTTCAAGTGAACATTATTGATTAAAACTAATTATCAGAGAACTTTTATCTCGTCTTTCGACTACATTCACACTTTTTTTAATTTAATTATTCTTCTCCACACTGTTTCTCATAAAGAATTAAATTTTTCTTCTATCTGAATTTATTTATGAGGAACTGAGTGATCTAGCGTAAACTAATATTTTTGTAATGACTATAAAAATAGTAATAAGAGAATTTCTTCATAATGAAAGACAATATTTTTTGCTTTATAAAAATGTAATTTCAATTAAATGAAATTTTACATATTAGAGGACAAAAAGTAACTACAGTCACTAGAACAGGGGTTCCCAAAAGGTGCCCTGCTGAATCTTATAGTTCCGTGGAAGAATACAGAGGTTCCGAAAGTTAAGATTTTTTTTAACCAGTAATAATTATACAGGGCTCCCGCGGCCTTGAAAAAACCTTGAAAAGTACTTGAATTTCATTTTGATTTTCAAGGGCCCCTAGAAGTACTTGAAAATGATTTTAAATCCTTGAAAAATTCAAAATGACCTTGAAAAGTATCGAAAACTCAGGAAAACAGCCCTATTTCCAGCATTTCTGTGTTTAACTTTTTGACGCACGTAAGTGTGAGAGAATGATTTTCCCGCCTTTCAGATGGTGACACGTACTGTTTGATTTTAAGATTTTATGTATGTTTGGCTGATTTTAGGAATTTTAAATATTGGGAACTGCGCCAGATTCTGACAAAATCTTGATTCTTATTCAGGCAATTTTAATATCAATCATTGATCTTCGTATTAAACTGATTTAAAAGCTATGTGTTGCAATTCGCTTTCGCGTGACTCAAAAATTGTACTTGCAATTCCCATTAAAGCAATTTAAAAATCTAATATCGCGATTTGTACTTAAGCGTTTTTAAATCCCAATATCCCGATTAGTTTTTCCACAAGTTTAAAATCCAATGTCGCTATTCGTATTCACGCATTTTGCAATATCAAACATCGATGTTGCGATATCAAAAATCGATGTTGCGATTTCAAATATTGATGTTGTAATATCAAACATCGATTTTCGTATTTATACTCTATTTGAAAACTACTCGTTACGATTCGTGTTCATGTGACCATGTCAAGTGTGTATAATCGATGCTACTGAAAAAAAATTAATTCAAGTATGAGTGGTTAATTAAAACAGTCAAAGTGACCAAAATTGTTAGTAAGAATCTATCAGAAGATATTGAGGTGAAAGTTGGCAACTGATTCAATTTAAAATGGTTGACCCGTAATAAATTTATAAATGATAATTAAGCCGCAACATCCAATAATTGATTAATTTTCTTTAATAGAAAAGTGGTCAAAATTTCAAAATTATATTTAAGAACAATTTAAATTTAACTGTCTAAATGCTTCTGCCACTTTAAATATTAAATAAAAATCTCCCGGCAGAGTTTTTAAATATCTAATTGATATCACAGTATTATATAGACCCCCGTCCTGCCCGAATTTTTGCTTATTCAGAGGTTGTATAACTAGCTTAAAATAGGCCTTGTGCAAAATTCAAATTCGACGTTTTTATGAATCATGAATTTTATTCTTGACTTGATGCCAATCACCCTTGCTTTTTTTATATTTAAAAACACTTTCCGAAATCAAGAGAGCAATGGAAGTCTTATTTTTCAGTACTGCTGTTATCGACTGTCAACTAACTATTATCGTCAAAACATTTTAGTTTAAAATGTAAAATTTTAGTCTATCTTTTACTAAAATTTAAGTCCTTGAGAATTTTATAATAAGTCTTAAAAAGTCCTTGAAAAGTACTTGAATTTTATTTCTAAAGTAGAGCATGAACCCTGTTATATCTACGAGGGTTGTAAATTAAGTAGTGGCAACTTAACCTTGAAACTCACAGAAGGGCGGGCATGCGCAAATGGGATATGGGAGCAGTGAGGTGGTGCTGTTGTCGACGTGTGGAGTGCTAAAAACAGTCGATCTGCTTAGAAGGGTAGTTGTTGCGTGGCGTTAAAGTGAGGAGTTTCGTTTCCATCGCTCTAAAGCATGCTTTCAAAAGACTTGATGACGAGATGCTTGAACCCATAGTGCTACTGTCCTATACGGTAAAGCATTTGTGCCACATGCTTCCACTAATCCTCGATAGCATTCTGTTGCATTTTTGCCACGGGCAACCTCGATTGTAAGCCACGACCGCTGATCACCTTTTGAAAACATGCTTTAGAGCGATGGAAACGAAACTCCTCACTTTAACGCCACACAACAACTACCCTTCTAAGCTAATCGACTTTTTTTTGCACTCTACACATCGACAACAGCCC